ACTGAACATAGGCATGAAAGACCCAACAATTCTACTCCTCAGTCTACCCAACAGAAAAGCAATCAAGAAACATGCACCTGAATGTACACAGCACATCCACTTACACAAGCCCCGTGACACTCGAGAAATAAGCCTCCTGGATCACCTAATATGGGGAGCTGCTCAGGTCTAAATCCATCATGGCCCTTCCCCCAGACCAGTACTTCCCACAGGCTGTTCTAGCCAATGACTGGCCATAGGCAGGATGCTAAAGGAAGCCCATTTCAGCAGGACAAGGGAATCCTCTGGTCCAACTTTGGCTAGAGAACATGTCACTGGCCTTCCAAAACTTTCTTAGAACAGCACTTAAGTCCCAAGTTACCAGACATTCTCTTCAATTTCTTCCTCCTCCACATGCATCAGACCTGCAAGCGGCTGTTCACTCTCTCCCCAGTATTTCTCCCAATACTGCAAAACCTAATCCCAACTTCCTGTCTTGTCCTTGGAGGGAACTAAACAGTCTCAAAGTGGGAACAACCTAATATTTATCAGCAGGAGAATGAACAGCCACGGATAATACATGAGAAAATCATTACATGCATAAACAAAGTACAACCATACGCAACCTTGTGAATGAAACGAGTGACAAAAATGAGCAGCAGCTGCACGGGTAGTGTCACAGACCAGATTTGTAATGACTTCTGTACTTTCCCTACATTCCACTGAAAAAGAAAAAGGCAAGCAAGACTCTGAGGAGTCAACTGTCCTTAGACCAAAAGTGGAATCAGCTACTTACTACCCATCAGATACAACCAGTATGGAGAACAGTATGGAGGTTCCTTAAATAACTAGGAATAAAAGTACCATCCGTGTGTGCTCAGTCATATCCGCCTCCTTGCAACCCCATGGACTGCATGCAGTCCACCAGGCTCCTCTATCCATGAAATTTTCCAGGCAAGAATATCAGAGCGGGTTGCCATTTCCTCCTCCAGAGGATCTTCCTGACCCAGGGACCGAACCAGTTTTTCCTGAGTCTCCCACATTAGCAGGCAGATTCTTTTATCACAGAGCACCTGGGAAGCCCAAAGGTGATGCTGAGGGTGATGAGAGTCAAAGGGAAAAATAATCTCTTCCTCTTTTTCTCCCTCCCTCTCTCCCATTTCTCACCTTCACCTTAGTATTCATTTGAGCAAAGACATCAACGCTACTCTCAAAACTACCATATATGACTCAGCAAGCCCACTACTGGGCATACTCCCTGAGAAAACCATAATTCAAAAGGACACATGTACCCCAATGTTCACAGCAGCACTATTTACAACAACTAGGATATGGAAGCAATTTAGATGTCCGTTGACAGATGAATGGATAAAGATGTGGTGCATATATACAATGGAATATTGCTCAACCGCCATAAAAAGGAACAAAATCAGGTCATTTGTAATGACGTGGATGAACCTAGAATCTGTCATACAGTAGAGGGAAGTCAGAAAGAGGAAAACAAATACCGTGTATACACGGAATATATATAGAATCTAGAAAAATGGTACTGAGGAACCAAACTGCACAACAGGAACAAAGATGCAGATGTAGAGGATGGCCTTCGGGTCGGGGGGCGAATTGAGAGAGCAGCGCTGGCGTGTACACACTGCCATCTGTAAAACAGCCAGCTACTCAGAGGCTGGCGGAGAGCACAGGAAGCTCGTCTGGGTGCTCTGGGAGGACCTAGGGGTGGGACGCAGGGGATGGGAGGGAGGCTCCAGAGAGAGGGGATATATGCATACTTACAGCTGATGCATGCTTTTATATAGCAGAAACACAACACTGTAAAGCAACTATACTCCAATTAAAAAATAAAATAAACACAGGGTACAGGCCAATTTATATTTCTTCAGTGAAGCCACTTTCCAAAAAGATTCTACCAAATTATCGTCCCACAGTTATGTAAATTATTTATTTCAAGGCTATGCATTTTAGGTGAACACTACTTTATGGACTAAAACTTGTGGTGAAGAGTAATTAAGAAGAGAAAGCACATAAGATTGCTTTTATCTTTTACTGAGTCCATTTAATAGATTCAAGAGATTAGATCTGGTAAGAGTGCCTGATGAACTATGGACCAAGATTTGTGACATTGTACAGGAGGCAGGGATCAAGACCATCCCCAAGAAAAAGAAATGCAAAAAAGCAAAATGGCTGTCTCAGAAGGGCATACAAATAGCTGTGAAAAGAAGAGAAGTAAAAACCAAAGGAGAAAAGGAAAAGATATATCCATTTGAATGCAGAGTTCCAAAGAATGGCCAGGAGAGTTAAGAAAGCCTTCCTCAGTGATCAGTGCAGAGAAACAGAGGAACACAACAGAATGGGAAAGACTAGAGATCTCTTCAAGAAAATTAGAGATACCAAGGGAGCATTTCATGCAAAGATGGGCTCAATAAAGGACAGAAATGGTATGGACCTGACAGAGGCAGAAGATATTAAGAAGAGGTGGCAAGAATACACAGAAGAACTATACAAAAAAGATCTTCACGACCCAGAAAATCACGATGGTGTGATCACTCACGTAGAACCAGACATCCTGGAATGTGAAGTCAAGTGGGCCTTAGGAAGCATCACTATGAACAAAGCTAGTGGAGGTGATGGAATTCCAGNGTGGGGTCACTGCTCCTTTCTTCTCGGTCCTGGTGTGCACAAGTTTTGTTTCTGTCCTCCAAGAGTCTGTTTCCCTAGTCCTGTGGAAGTTCTGTAATCAAATCCCACTGGCTTCCAAAGTAAAATTTATTTTCTTGGGTTCTAAAATCACTGCAGGTGGTGATTGCAGCCATGAAATGAAAAGACGCTTGCTCCTTTATAGAAAATATGCACAACCCAGACAGCATATTAAAAAACAGAGACATTACTTTGCCAACAAAGTCCGTCTAGTCAAGGCTATGGTTTTTTCAGCGGTCATTTATGGATGTGAGAATTGGACCATAAAGAAAACTGAGTACTGAAAAATTGATGCTTTTGAACTGTGGTGTTGGAGAAGACTCTTGAGAGTCCCTTGGACTGCAAGGAGATTCAACCAGTCCATCCTAAAGGAGATCAGTCCTGGGTGTTCACTGGAAGGACTGATGCTGAAGCTGAAACTCCAATACTCTGGCCACCTGATATGAAGAACTGACTCATATGAAAAAACCCTGATGCTGGGAAAGGTTGAAGGCGAGAGGAGAAGGGGACGACAGAGGGTGAGATGGTTGGATGGCATCACCAACTCAATGGACATGAGTTTTACGTAAACCCCAGGAGTTAGTGATGGACAAGGAGGCCTGGCATGCTGCAGTCCATGAAGTCGCAGAGAGTCAGACACAACTGAGCGAAAGAATTGAACTGAGTCCATTTAAAGAAAAACTTTTTAAGATTATACAAAAATACCAGAGTAACCAAAAATTACCAATTATAAGTCAATGATTAATTCTAAATTAAAAACACCATTTAACAGAACTTCCAGCCCAGGATGCAACTGTCACCGCAGCATTTACAGATCCTGGTTCAGTGTCCTGTCCACATCAATAAATTTGGCCTAAGCCAACTTTATACTCCCTGCATCATCATCTCACATCCTTAACATCCGTTCCCACAATTACTCCCCAGGCAAACTCTTGGAGGGTAGTCTACCTCTTCATGAATCACACTCTGCACCTCATCCTTTGGGGCCTTCTGGGAGGATCTTAGGGGAAGCCAAATGCAGGTTTTTCAGGCAAACAAAGATTAAGTTCAGACAGAGGATGGAAAGGCTGTTTCTACTGGCAAAGGTAGCCCGACAGAATTTAGGTGTTCAAGATCTCCAGTTAAATCAGAAACTGACCATATGTCTCTAATCTAATTTTCAGGATCCCGCTCCTAACCAAAGTTCTCACCTACTAACAGGGAATTCAATTTGCAGTTTTAGGGCAGGCACAGAAACTTTCAGGTCCCTTATGTGGAACCCTCGCTGGGAATTTAAAACCCTGAGCTCATCACTTTGCTGTGTAATGTCTTAACTTGGCTAGGCTAAACTGCATTCCCAGGATTTCCCCTGCATTTGTTTCAGGACTGGGTGGGCCACAGGGAGACTACTGTGCGGCAGGTGGAGGGCACATCTGGTGGGACATCTGCGGTCACCAACTCCCCATCCGCCTCACTGGTGCGAGGCTGCAACAGCTACTCTACCTTCCCCCAGGCTCCCTGAGTCTCTGTCTCCTGGGCCAAGTGTGTGTGGTCAGCTCCAAGACAAAGGCCCAGCTCTTTCTGGATGCCCACTCAACCAAGGTCAGAGGCAACACAACTGACACAGCTTTCCATCTATCTTGCTGTGGCTTCCAGTCTGTTTTCTCCCCCAAGGCACTTCCACCTTTCTTTCTCAAATTCCTGTCCTATGGACTACGACTCTAGCATGAGGCACACAGGCAGCCTTACCAACAAACTGCATTGCCAGCTCCTACACTGTATTAACTGAGATCTCTGAATATGACTGTCTGACAGACCCCTAGACAGAAAACCACACATTTAACCACACAGCCTCAATCTGCCTTTGGATAATGCTAGCTAGAGCCCAGGGGATATGAGCCCTCAGAACCCAAGAACTGAGCTAAGGACCAGAAAACTATTTATGGACAAAAACAATTAACAATCTCTGCTCTCATGAAGTGCTTTTTTGAGAAAACAAAAACTCCTTAAATCATGTGAATAAAAGTAACCCCCTAATTTTGATGAGCACTTGGAAGGACAGCAATGTCTCTAATATAAGGACATGACTTGAAGAAAATCAAGAAAAAACTTCAAAACCTTCAGAAAATTGAAGGTTACTGTAAGCCGAGTGATGGCTACATGGAAATTCTCTACTCTACCTTTATTATAAAATTTACAAACGCTTTCCTCAAAACAGCTTTCATCAAAAAGTGATGCTTGAGACAAGAAAGGCAGACTAAGAACTGAAATTTGGACAGAAAAGCATTCCAGTTAGAGGGAAAGAACAAGTGCCACGCTTCCTAGTGGCGGAGATGATGGTGGGCATTGGAGATACGAGAAGCACCTGCATGTCTGCAGCGAAGAGAGAGGCAGCGCAGGTGAGGGCAAGGCCCCAGAGGCCCCAGAGGCCTGCTATGGAGCTCTGTCCTCAACGCAAGGGGAAGCCACTCAGTTTTATGTAAACGGTGATACAATTAGATGTGTCTTTAAAAAAAAAAAAAAAACAGGTAATTTCTTAAAAAAAAAAAGGTAATTTCTGACATTAACAAATTATAATACAGACATATTTACCTCTTACCCAACAATCCTACTATCTTGAAACTATATCTGATCAAATACAAAACAATGTATCAAACAAGGTTATTCATTGCAATAATTTTTTAACAGTAGCAGAATGTAAACACTATATATCTACTTAGGAAATGAACTATGAGCACAAAAGAGTACATACCAAGAATACAGAAGTGTATATGAAGTGATCTCCAGAATATATTAAGTAAAAAGGAAGAAACAACAGTGGATACAAGCTTTTTGGAAACAAAAGCAGACACAAACTTCTTTTTAAGAAAAGCAGGTTAAAACAATGTTTCCTTATGTTGCAAAAATAAGTAGAAAAATAAACCAGAAATAAAAATGGAGCAGGAGGAGAAGAGTTTAGAGATAGGAAAAGAAAGGAGAATGTGAACACACCTTTATAATGCAGCTTTGACTCTGGAACTATATAAATGTTTCACACACTAAAGCAAAATACATTTAGAAAAACATCAAAGCAATCCTTAAATGTTAGGGGTTTCATTCAAATAAGCCAAACTGACGATCAAATTGATTACAAAATCAGAGAGAAAATGTTATTTCAAATAATTCTATAATTCAGAATGTAAACATTTTAAAACAAAGGGAATAGAAACCTACAATCATTCTAATGTTAAAATGTTTTTCGAACTAGTATGCTTATACTGTAGGATAAAGGAAAGTAATTAAAGTTGATAAGAATGCAATTTTTTTAACATTAGAGAAGATAAATTCAAAGTAAAAACCCTAAGAAGTTATATGTGAACTGGAACTAGCAACACAAAACCAAAACTAGTATTTCCCAAGTCTGTCCAATGACAGCAAGGGCATCTCAGTGGCAATAAGGACACACAGCACCAGATTTTGGTATCTAAACTCCACTGCCTGATAAAAAGAGCTAAAAGAACTGGTTGCTAGATACTGGGAAGAAAAAGCACAAAGTGAGTCTCAGACATTTTGTAACATGAGCAAGAAACAATTCAAAGGTTAACAGGGTCACATCCAAGGGAAGAAAACTAGCTTGAAATGACCAAGCCATGACCAAACTAGCACAAGTTGAGGGAAAAAAATGATGACTACTTGATTAAGACACACTGCAAATACATAAAATTCCACAGGTGCACAGTGATCCTAAAGAAGAGAAGGCAAAAGGAAATACACAATAACAAATCAACCCTGTACACAGGGCAAAGGACACTCTTACCCTCGTGTCAAGACCTAAAACTCATGCTAGGAGTATTAATTTAGATATGATTAGTTAATATATAGATAAGCAGGTCATATAGACATACATGCCTGTAACTATATAGACCATCTACAAATAAATACGTAGATCATTTGCAGACAGGTTCAAATATTAAACCTAAGTTATAAGGATGTAACTATAAGCAAGCTTAACAACAGATATAAGCAAACAAATATAATCTAAGTTTAAAAAGTTGTCCTGCCTTTTATTACTACAATCTAAAAACATTTCAAGTGGTATTTAAATACTTCGTTAGTCTCTTTACTCTCTCAACATTTGGATAAAACAATATCCATGATGAATTAACCCTTTCTCTATCACCCACTCCACCCCCAAAAAAGTTTAACATTTTAATGTCTCCAGACAAATTGCCTTTGCTTCAAATTACTTTATCCTTATTCAACAGGCTGCTGCTGTTGCTGCTGCTGCTGCTAAGTCACTTCAGTCGTGTCTGACTCTGTGCAACCCCATGTGTCTGACTCTGTGGGACCCCACGGACGGCAGCCCACCAGGCTCCACCATCCCTGGGATTCTCCAGGCAAGAACACTGGAATGGGTTGCCATTTCCTTCTCCAATGCATGAAAGTGAAAAGTGAAAGTGAAGTCGCTCAGTCGTGTCCAACTCTTCAGGACCCCATGGACTGCAGCCTACCAGGCTCCTCCATCCATGGGATTTTCCAGGCAAGAGCACTGGAGTGGGGTGCCATTGCCTTCTCCATATTCAACAGGCTCGACTCTTGCAAACTTGAATTGGAACCCTGGTAGATTCCGTCAATCCATCTTTCAGAAGGTTTAATGCCTTTCAATGGCTCCCCACACCTCCCCCCACTACTACCACCCTTCGGATAAAACAGCAACCACCTTAATGTCACATGTTCAATTATTTAAAATCTGACCCCAAGTTCATTCCTAGACAGACTGATCATGTCAAACTTAAGTGGTGTCAGCAGCTATATGATCAATAACCACAGGGAACTTATGATACCCAGAAGCCCTAGGAATCATTCACATGGGAGTAAGATAACATGGCAAAACTTTTGATTGTAATTCAAATCCAGAATGGTCTAACACTCGTCATGACTCTGCTCCTGTTGTTCCTTCATCTAGACTGCTTTCCTCTAACCTATATTCTTAACCCTGCTCGAACATTACCTTCTCTCCCCAGATGTCTCACCATATGCCTGGGTATCTTCCCTACCAAGCTGTAAGGTCTATAAGGGCATATCTTCATGTATCATGCCCATATCTGACTTATGGCAATTTAAAAGCCAAAAATTAAGCACCCAATAAAGATTTTAAAAAAAACTTAATAGAAGACAAGCACAACTAAGCAACCTATTGTTGAAAAAAAAAATGCTAATAACTATAGCAAAGTTTAAAAGCATGGAGAAGGAAATCAACAATGATTGGCACCAGTTGCTGCATTTCAGGAACGGTACTGGGAACTCTACACATCCATTTCATTTAACTATTGTAATAGCCTTACATGATAGGTTTCATCCCAGTTTACAGTTGAGGAATAGCGCTTAGAAGGACTATGTGATGAACCAGGTATGTGGCTTTGGACCAGTAAGGAGTGGGGTTGGATTTCAACCCAAACTCTTCAGAGTTGAAGGCCATTCGATCTCCACGTCCAACTCCAGAGCTCACATCTTTTTCACAATGGATTCCCCATTTCCAATTTCTTTTTGTTCAAAGGAAAGAAAGAAAACATAATTAAGCATCTAGTAAATATAAGGAAGTATTTCCATGATATATATTTTTCTCAACAAATTAGAATTCTGCTAATTCAAAAGAAACATCCAACAACACTGTTATTTTTAATCTCTGCAATAATCCACCATAATTCTTTCGGAACAGCAGTATCCTTTTTACGTGTTTCTAACATACCAGAGGAGAAAAATGCTAACAAGGAGTACAGCCAATGGAGTTTAACTGTATACAACCAGGTAAGTCATTGGGAAGAAGAGAACACTGCATAATTAGATTTCTTCTAGTTAAGACTTCAAATTAATAGCTCATAATTGTATCATATCAACACGTAAGAGTCAAATCTGAGGTACTCTTTCCCACAGGATGCACAGGCAAGCAAAAATCACATCAACCTTCCACTCCACGATTGACAACAGTGGTACCATTACTTGTAAGGACACCAATGACCAACAATTCCACCATTACCTAGCTTTCATGAGTGTTACTAGATATTACACCAAAAACAATAAAGTATCTAAGGTCAAATATGGAAAACAATGCTGGTACTATTTCTCAGCACCATTAATCGGACTGTGAATTGTGACCCTGGGGGAAAAGGAAAAGAACACAGCACTGTTTCCCAAACTAAGGTGACCGAGGACTCCTTTGATTTTGCAGCATTTCTTAGCATGAGTGTCACAAAGGATACCACCTTAAACGCTGCTTCATATATATACCCGAAACAAAGTAAATATTACTACTGAATTCTGCACTAGTAAATAAAGAAGCAGTACTATCAAAACTCTGGGGATCATCGAAAATCTTAAAAAAAAAAAAAAATTCTAAGTTAATCACAGAGATAACTGAAGGTCTCTTTCCTTAACTCATTTCACAGCATTTTGAAGTAACCATTTTGCTACTCAAAGAAATTCTATCTTCTCACAAGAAACACACACCTACTATCGACGATTCTGACAAACATTTAACGACCTTTACATGTAATTATCAAGTTAAATCCCATGAACACAGGGGCCTGGTAGGTTAGTCCATGAGGTCACAAGAGTCCGACACGACTTAGCTACTAAACAACAAAATCAAGTCTGATAATAAAGCTTCTGTAAATTGCTAGCTACAATTTTTTGGTATTCGCCTCTTACCCAAGAATGGGGGAAGGGCAGAAGGTTCCTCATCTCACTTGACCCTCATCTGAAATTTCACAGCCTCTTAAAAGTTCACCTCTAAGAACGTTAACAGACTCGATCTGCCCTGGTACATACACCCTCAAGTACAGGTTTAGTTTTCATTTCCTAACAAAAGCTATGTAGAAAGCAATTACTGTACTCTCCATCAATCCCTTCAGACCGCAGAGGTCCTTCCAGAAAATTCCAACAGAAGTTATATAGGAATTTGCATTTGGGGAGGTATGTCGTCTTTGGCAGAAGTCATGTTATACAGCGCAATCCTTTAACACTTAAATGTATTGAGGGTTGCTTTCTGACGTACAGCAGATCTGTATTTGCTACTTAAACATGCATGGAAAACCCTCTCCAAAACCAGGAATCCCAACCCACAAATCATAAAAAGCAGATAAGCCTGAAGCAACTGCGTAAACAGATTTGGGGTGCCTATTTCGTGGCATTTATGGCTGAGGCCATCACTAAAATTCAATCCGGTTAAAGTCGACAACGCATCCCCAACAGGAAAGATGAACAGAGCCAAACCGTAGGCACTGCGCAGTTTCCGCGCCGTGCGATTAATCTCAGCAAATGCTTGCGGAATGCGCTCAAGGTCACTCGTGATGAAAAAGAAAAGTGTGTGTGTGTATGTGTGTGAGAGAGAGAGTGTGCGTGTGCAGAAACGCCCGCCGTCGGCCAGTCCCGCGCAGAGCTGCCCAGGGCGCGTGGACAGGCAGCCAAGGGGGCGGGGGAAATAAGGGGGGGGGGTACCGAGAGACCCGAAAAACCACCTTCTCCGCCAAGCCCACTGCTGCAGAACCCCGGGCAGCCACCCGGGAGATTACGCCGTCGTAGGTACGCAGCCCTGGCTAGGGGAGCAACGCCAGGCCTCCGGAGGGTCCCGANCCCGACAGAGCCAGACGGCGCCGCCCCGCCCCCGCTCCGCTCCGCGGCCGCCGCCGCCCGCCCCCGACCGCACGGCGCACGCGCACTGCGGCCGCCGACTGCACCGGCAGCACCGCCCGGTCCCGGCCCGACGGGCCGCATTACGCAGGCGCTCCAGCTGGAGGGAGGGACCGAGAGGACAGAGGGCGGGGCCAGGCGGCAGGACTCGGCTCGAGGATGCTCACCTGGCGGCGGGGCGGAACCGAATAAAGGAGGGCCTGGAGGTGGGGCGGGGCCTGGGGCTGCAGCGGGGCGGGGCCTGGCGCCACTCACCTGGCAGCCAAGCACAGCGGACCAGGGCCTGGCGCCGGGGTGGGGCCTGGCAGCGGGGAGGGGCCGGGCGCGGCTCTCACCTGGGGGCGGGGCCTGGCTGTGTCCCAGCTGCGCGCCGAGAGGCGGCTTTAATGGCCTAGAGGCCGGGGGGCCGGGGACGGCGCCGATCGCACCGGAAGTCTGACATCCTTAGAAGTTTCGTTTTCGCGCGGTGGGAGGGCTTTTACCGACAGACTGATCCTCCCTGTTTTGGAATTTAAGCAGCAAGTCGACCTGCGTCGCACACGCCGCCCCTTTGGAAGAAGCGGAATACAGTGACAAAGCCATCCGCTGACAGAGCTGTGGTGGCCGAGGAAATGCAGCACCCAGCGCCGAGGGCTTCCCGATCGGGCCCCGCCGCCGCACTGCGCCACCGCGGCCGAAATTCGGGTCTCGCCCACTCACCTGCCCTACCTGGCGGGGGTAGGACGAGCTTTGCAGCGCTTGACAACGCACTCCCTCTGTGTCCGTACTCCGCCTCCTCCACAAACTGGCCAACTCGCTCGGCTCTGGCTTTCCGCAGAAGTCAGGAGCTAGGCATTCTCACGGTCACTCGCGAACTTGTTTCCCTTCTGTTTCACCCAAGACGCCCTTTGAGTGTCAGATTGGTTGTTTGCTGGAAGAGGGGGAGAGGAAGGAAGAGTCTGGAACAGTTTTGACTCCTTCGGAGTGCAGTGCCCGCAGGCTGTACCCGGGGTCTGACCCCCTACCCCGCACCCCAGCCTGGAGCTCTACCTGCTTCAATCCCAAGACTGGCGCTCTCCTCTCCCTTCGTCCTCATACCCCCGTCCTCATACCCCCTCTCACCCAACGCTTCCCTCCCCCACTTGTCCGGTGCCCTCCCCTCCCCCAACCCCACGACCACCTGGCGTCCTCCAGAGAGTCTCTGGGCGGACGTGATTCCTAGAATGCGAAAAGCTTCCTAATAAACCGCCTGCCCGAATGTTGTCGGGTCAAATGACAGACGTATTATTGGAAAGCGCTCTGTTCACCGTAACGAGCAGCCCAATTGTCGCTTAGCATTGCTCTGTGGGATTTTGCTGGCACCTTTTTCTTCCAAGTAAGATTGATACGTGCCTGTTGAAACAAAGTGCTCATCTCAGATGACACATTTGGCAAGAATTGCAAGTTCACAGGCCAACTAGAGGACCAATTTAGATACAGATACACAAAAATGTGTCACTGTACTTACCAATGAGAAAGCGTTGGGAAATTAACTTTCCATAATGTTCAATGTTTATGACCCAGACAGTAGTGGAGAGGGAGAAATTTCCCTGAGTTCTTATTCGGTGGACTAATGACAAAATTGACACCAGACAGAACAGCAGGAGAAAAGCAAATTTGAATGCATGCACGTAAAGCTCTCATAGAAATTGGATCTATGAGGTGGCCAAAGCGGGCAGATTTTATACTTTTTAGACAAAAACTAAATTTGTGAGGAGTTGACAAGATAGGGTTGGGATGCTCAATTAGTGAAGAATCTAAACAGAATTTGGGCTTGGGACAGTAAATTTAAAATGAACAAGGTTTGTTTATATAGGCTTTTCAGCCTGATTTCCTTGTTTCTGGTGATAAGGGTCTCTGTACCTTCTGGTACAAGAAAGGTATTTGTTGTTCAGTCGCTCAGTCCTGCCTGACTCTTTTTTTGATTTTCCATGGACTGTTGCTCCCCAGACTCCTCTGTCCAAGGGATGTCCCAGGCAAGAATACTGGAGTGGGTTGCCATTTCGTTCTCCAGAGGCAAATTCTTTACTGCTGAGCCACCCTGAGAAAGGTATCAAAACCTTTGAAAGAATGACATAGCCCGAGAACACAACGTAATAGGTCCAAGATGGCAAATGAGTTTACTTCCACTAGACCCTGAGCCTCAGTATATGCTCACTGTAACACGTCAGCAAGCTAAATGACACACCCACAGGTGCCGTGACAGTTCAAGGGCAAACCATAAAGGTCAAAAAGTGGGTGGTGGTCCACTTCCTGGAAATCCCCACGCCTTCCCCAAAATAGCTAAAATACTTCTCCCACTCATTAGCTTATGAAATTACCCACCCCTGTAAAAATTGACAAGTCAGTGGAATGTTTCTGTCTAAATAAATCAACTTCCTACCCATCACTTTGTCTCTCACTTAAATTCTTTCTGTGATGAGACATCACGAACCTGAGTTTCATTAAGTCCTGAGACCATGTGTGTGATCTCAGTTGAAACTGATTTCAAGTCCCAATCTGAGTTGCATGGTTTCAGCAATTTTTACATGGGAGATTTTTTCCTATTCTTAAGGAGACAGAGGGGAAGGTCAGAGTGTCCCTCTTGCATTGACCCTTTCTTAAGTAACTGTGCATGCATGCTAAGTCACTTCAGTCAGGTCTGACTGTTTATGACCCTATGGACTGTAGCCCACCAGGCTCCTCTGTCCATGGGATTCTCCAGCCAAGAATACTGATCTGGGTTGCTGTGCCCTCCTCCGAGGGATCTTCCTAACCCAGAGATCAAAACCCAGTCTCTTATGTCTCCTTCATTGTCAGGTGGGTTCTTTACCACTCATGCCACCTGGGAAGCCTGTAAGTAACTTTAATACAATATAATTAATGTTCTGTTGAGGCACATTTGGAGGCAGTCCACTGGGTGCCCCAACAACCTCAACCAGAAGGCTGTGAGTCCCTTCCTTTCCCGTTCTGAATGGAGAGATCTGGCCATCTTGCTTCTCGGGAAGCTTCAGTAGACCCCACACTAGAGTGTCTTCCTGTTAGTGGGGAGGGAGCCAGATTGTTGCAATACTCTTTCTTTGGAAGTGGGACTTGAAGAACCAAAGAGGACCACTTTCGTCTCAAGAATCCTGTTTCTCAAAAGGTACTCTCTTTCCATGCTCATTCTTGGCTTAACTTGCTCCTGAAACCACAGGAAAATCATCAATTGGAGTACTATGCCCCTTCCAGGCTTCTCTCCCGACAGTTTGAAACTATCACTGTCACAGCACTGCTGGATGAAAAAGAGAACCAGAAGAGACTTTCACACTCCCTGGCTCAACATATATCAACTGGACCCTACCAGGCACAGGGCACTGCATTTGCCTCTGGAGGGGACACTATGTCTACATACGCAAGAATATTTACACTTCACGAAGGGAACATCACACGGTGCTGAAAAAAATATTTACTGAATGGATGACTCCAAGAAAGAAACAGCAGGAGCAGGGTTCAGCCATCTGGTCAACTATACAGCTTCCTCCCCTGGCTTATTCCCACCTTTCTCCAGGTCATTCTCTACACAGCAGCCAAATATATGCTTCTAAATGATACCTTTTCATAGAAGCCTCTTCTGACCACCTGCACAAGTAGATTGCCCTCTATTCTCTTTAACTGTCATCCTTATTTATTTTTCTTTGTAGCACTGATTCTCTTTTGTAATTACATACAGCACAGACTTGTTAAGTCACCACCCACCCCATTTTAAAGTCCAAAGGCCATAGACAATATCTGTTTTCCTTTATACCTTGCAGAGGACTGTAGAAGTGAAGTGAAGTCGCTCAGTCGTGCCCGACTCTTTGCAACCCCATGGACTGTAGCCTACCAGGACCCTCAGTCCATGGGATTTTCCAGGCAAGAATACTAGATTGGGTTGCCATTTCCTTCTCCAGGGGATCTTCCAGACCCAGGGATTGAACCTGGGTCTCCCGCATTGTAGACCAGGGAAATGAATAGATGACTTGTCTGAATACTGGATCATGAGGCTTTGTTAACATAGGGTTTAGGAAGAGCCTCAAATGGCAAGATACTGGGGAATTTAAACTCTTCTTACCTACTCACAGAGTTATATCAAGGTTCAACAGAAACTCTATACAGACCTATGCACATGTGAGGGAGCTTCTCCATCCCATGGGAAACAATTGAAGATGTTCAGTTAGGGTGACTTTTTAAAATCAATCAGGTGCTATCTAGAAGAGAATTTACAGTGGGAATTATGACATAAAGGAGACCATGTAGGAGGCTACTGTAATAACTTTGGGGGACAGAATTTGAACTGGATACAGTGCTTATGAAAAGGATAATATAATAACTTTTAAAGAGCAAGCATCCAACTCCATGATAGAGGGGAGTTATTTTATTGAAGAGGGGGATGATGGTGGCATTTTGGTTAGGCTGAGAAGGAAGAACTCCTTATGATTTAAAGAAATATCCTGAAAAGTTTTAATTAAATGATATGATGATATAGTCATGCTGATTTCTCTCAACAGATTAGTTTTGCCTGGCTTTGAACTTTATATATATATAAATGGAATCAAACAATGACATACCTCCATATCACATGATACATGAATACTATTTTTGCATCCCTAGGGATACTGCACGTGAATTGGAAGATAGTTGCTCTTGGATATGAAGAAGGAATTCATAGGGCCTGGACTCCATCTTAGGCCTGTTCATGCTGATCATGCTCGGGCACCTCTCCAAGGGACTCTGAATTCTGTGTTTAGTGCCTATGGAAACGACAACAGAAGGATAAGACCCCCTCCAGACAGGGGAACCTTGAAGATGATATCCAGGTTACTCCTCACCTAAAAGGACACATACACTAATCACCCCTTCCTCCAGACAGGCCATAAGTTTTCTGTACCTATCAGAGTGTAACCTCGGGCTTATTGATTATTGGCTAATTGTTTAACTGTCTAAGCACCTGGTACATGAGTGATGGGGTTATTGGGATTGTATTTACCCTTCCTTAGTTTATGTAAGTCTCAAGGAATTTGGGGTGGTGGGTTCGGACATGTACACATGGAGTATAAAAGATTTTCACAAATGCTGGTCAGGGTCCTTGGCTAAGACGAGACTCTGCCTTGGGCCCGCTGGTGTAGTAAACTGCACTCCACTATCTGCATTGTCCTTCTGAGTGAGTTTGTTTCCCAGAATGCGTGGCTACAACAGATATACTCCTAGAAGAGAAATTGCTGAATAAAAAATATGAATATTAGTAGGTACCACATTCATACAGTGATGTAAACACCTTAGATCTTTACCAGTGCAGTAGATGAACAAAACCATATCCCATGATAGTTTTTGTTTGTATTTATCTCATTTTAAGAGAGATAGTTCTTTTTTCATATATTTAAGTTATTTGAGCCTATGAAATGCACTAAAAACTATTAGAAGTAATAAACGAGTCCAGCAAGGTTGTAGGATATAAAATCAATATACAAAAATCGATCATAATTCTATACAATGAAGTGTAGTCGCTCAGTCGTGTCCAACTCTTTGTGACCCCATGGATTGTAGCCTACCAGGCTTCTCTGTCCATGGGATTCTCCAGTCAAGAATACTGATGTGGGTTGCCATTTCCTTCTCCAGGGGATCTTCCCGACCCAGGGATGAACCCAGGTCTCCCACATTGGAGGCAGACGCTTTAACCTCTGAGCCATCAGGGAAGCCTATTTCTATATAATAGCAGTGGGCAAACCAACAGTGGAATTAGAAAACAATTCCCTTTTATATAGATTTCTAAAGAATAAGTTAAGAATAAATTTAACGAAAGTACAAAATTTATACTCTGAAAATTACCAAACAACAACGAAAGAAATTAAAGAACTAGATAAGTTTGCAAGTATCTCATGTTCACAAACTGGAAGACTATTTACAGAGGGCAGTTCAGTTCAGCTCAGTCGTGTCCGACTCTTTGCGACCCCATGAAGCGCAGCACGCTAGGCCTCCCTGTCCATCACAAACTCCCGGAGTTTACTCAAACTCATGCCCATGAGTCAGTGATGCCACCCAGCCATCTCATCCTCTGTCACCCCCTTCTCCTCCTGCCCCCAGTCCCTCCAAGCATCAGGGTCTTTTCCAATGA